ACGTGGCGCCCATGCAGCCAGCCGGGCACATGCACACCGCGGAGCCGCTGTCCGCCGGCACTGGCCGCCGTCCGCACACTCCTTGACGTCGCATGGAGACTGAGCTACGGTGCAGAGGGCAGAGGCCAGTGGGCTCAGGGCTGCAGTGGCCCCGGCACTGTCATTGGTGGGGGGACCGGCCAGGGCTGTCCCGATGCACTGTGCTGGAAGGGTGTCTGAGGCTGCGGGGGGCCGGGCCAGGCGCGGGGCACCGGGCCCAGCCCCCTCCTCTGGCGGCACCCAGGCTAAGCTAAATGGCGAGAGCTGTTGTCACAGAGCAGAGTGACAGAGCCTCAAGGGCGAGCGGTGCCCAGGGGTGCGGGTGGGGGGGGCCCGGTGGGGGAGGCGAGACTCTGCTGCAGGGGCAGCCGGTGCGAAGGAGCTGAGCCCCCAGTCAGAGTGGGGGTGAGCAGGTACAGCCCGCCTCTGTCTGCCCTCTGACCCCGACACGGGATGCCAGCTGACTCCCTAGTGGCTGCTGACACCCATTCCCCTGGCTATACCGCGTGTCCTGCTGACAGCTCACTCCCCAAACAACTCAGCACAGGGACCAGACGGGCCCTGAGTTGTGGGGGCCGTGGGGGCCAAGGGGGCGGGAGGGCCCGGCGCCCCAGGAGGCACGCAGGTGCTTCAGCGGCCAAGGCTGACCGCACACGGTGACCCCGACTCCATCAGGCAGCAGCTGGGTGCTGTGGGGGAGGGAAGACTTAGGGAGCAGCACGCTGACCCTGTGGTACACCGCCCGGTGTCCCTGCTCTTAAAGGCTCTGGGCCCGGGGTGAGTCCTGAGACCTGGGAGCCTCAGTGGGGCGGAGGGCCGGTGCCTGTGGGGGTCGCCGGACCGGCCACAAGAAAGCCGAGGCTCAGGGGTCCTGGCCCCCAGCCCTCGTGGGGGCCTCACTGGGCCTGGGCTGCTGGCTCCACACGACAGATGGAGGCTTCAAACATGTCCTGTGGCGCTGCTCGCCCTCAGAAATGGGGCTGGGGGAGGTGGCGAGGCGTTACTGGCACACACTTGATTTGACAGTGGCTTCTGCGCGTTCCTAAGTAATGGCTACCCGTCAGCAAGTGTATGTGGTGGGACTTGAGTCTGGCCTCTGGCCGAGGTGGGTGGCGATCCAGGGTCACGGTGATTTGATTTAAGGGGTTTCTTTGCTGGCTCTACTGGCAGCTTCCCACAGTGAGACTGGGAGCGGGTGTCGGTCTGCCTTCCTCCCCCGGCAGGCGAAAGGGCAGAGGCAGGGTGTTGAGAGGGGCTGGGTGCAGGGCTGGGTACGGGGCTGGTGCGGGGCGAGGGGCAGGGCTGCACCAGAACCAACCGCGGCACTAGGAAGGGCGATGTGGGCACAGTGGGGGAGAGGCCAGGGCGTCTCGAGAGGGACCGCAGCCCAGGCCCAGGCTGTGAGACCCCAGGGGTTGGGGAGAAGTAGCCTCTACTGCTGGGAGCGGCTGGGTGCCAGGCTCCTGGGGGTGCAGGTGGGAAGAGGGTGGGGGTTTGTGCCTCCCCCACACAGCTGGCCGTCTGACCTCAGAAGCCCCCAGGTCCCCATCGAGCTGGGCCTATGGTGGGGGAGCTTGATGGCTCCCCCTCACCCAGGCCCTGCGGCCAGCCTGCCCAGACCCTGGCTTGATCTGGAACGGGTACTGGCCTGTGCCAAGGTTGCAGCCCGCCTTGACCCCCGGGGCCCAGGAGGCCTGAGTGCTGCAGCCAGTGCTTTTGCCACAGCCCCTCGCCCATCTCTGGGCACCTGTGTCTGGGGCCGGGCCCTCTGGGGCACGCCAACCACTGCTCCCACCAGGCTGCCCGCCCCCTCCCCGCCCCAGGCTCTCCTGCAGCCAGCAGGCTGGGGCCAGGGCGGGCCCCCTCTCACCTGTCTCACAGGTGGGCCCGCTGAAGCCATCTGGGCACTGGCAGCTGAAGCCGGCAGCACTGTGTGTGCAGGACCCGCCGTTCTGGCACGGGTGCGATGCACACTCGTCCACACCTGCAGAGGGGTGGGGGTGGGGCCTCAGTGGAGGAAGGCAGGCTGGGAGGGCCAGTCACACCTGGAGCGAGGGGCCAGCAAGCCTCCAGAGCCTCGCTCCGAGGGCGCTCTGCTCCAGGGGGCCGCTGCAGCACCACCCACAGGCTCACGGTCACGGAGCCGCTGCATCCGGTGCCCAGTGGTGCCCTACACACGCCGCGCCCACCACGGGGACAGAGACCCTTGACCTTGGGCTCTCGGGGGCCCTGGTGCTCTCACAGCGTTCCCGGGCCTGGCGGCGACTCACCCAGATGGCACTGCCTCCCCGTGAAGCCCGAGGGGCAGGAGCAGGTGTACGAGGGGTTGCCCGTGACACAGTCGTCGATGCACGTGCCACCGTTGCGGCATGGGCGCAGGGCCAGGCACACGGAGGCTGCAGACACAGGACCGAGCAGAGCTGTCACCCCCTTCCCTCCCTGACCTGAAGGCCTGTCTCCTAGGAGTGGCCCGTCGTCCACTGGTGGCCGAGCGTCCAGGGTGTCTCTCTCCAGGGCTGTGCAGGAGTGCCCGGTGTGACCGAGGCCTGCCCTCCGTCTGCGCTGCCTGCCGACGTCTGGACTGCTGAGCTGTGACTCTGGTTGTGGCTCGTGGTGGGTGGCCTTCCCTAGAATCCCTTACACCCACAGCCCCTTCCTATCCCGCTAATCCGTCAACTTCCCGGCCTGTCCAAGAGGCTGAGAAGACAGGGACCCGAGGGTGCTCAGCAAGGCAGGGACACCACTCCCTGTGGACCAGGGGGTCCCCGCATGGAACCGGAAGCAGGGGGGCCCCGAAGGCAGCTGCAGCTTGTCCCAGGCTGCCTTGGGCACGTACAGAAACGCAGCACCCAGTTTCCCATGAGTGAGATGAGCGGCTCCAGCTCAGAACCATCGAAGCTGGTGTCACCCGGTGTGGCCTGCTGGCCAGGGAGGACCTCTGGGGGTCCCCAAGGGCCACCAGCTCCCACGCCTGGCCCTCTTGGACAGGAAGCTAATAGAACTTGGCCCATGGAGCCCTAGCCCTCTGGAGGAGCAGGCTGCTGAAATCCACGATCAACAAGCACAAACGGGCAAGTGACGAGTGTCTCAAAGTCTTGGCCCTCGTGTACAAGGAGGGCCCCACACCGGGCATGGTGTCGAGGGAAGGACCCTCTGGTCCAGAACACTGCCAAGGCTGTGGCTATCTTTGGGACGGTTCCTGCTTCTCGCCTGTACCTTTCCGGTTCCTGCAGCCACACTGTCACTCAGTCTGCCGTGGTGCGGCTACACTGCGCTGTGTGGCGGCAGACTTCGGAGCCCTGATTGGGGACCAGCCTTGCTCAGGAGCTAGACCTCCTGATGTGGACGCAACGTCTCAGCTGTGAACCGACCCCACTTCCTGGTAAAGCTGATGAGAGTCATTGTGGACCGGCAACGTGGGCTCTGTCCCCGTGGGCTTGCAGTGTTGTTGTGGGGATGCCAGGGGACTGCGCCCTCCCCCGCAGTGCCGTGCTCCAGTAGGGAGGGCCAGCAGCGCCTGCCCATCTGCTCCCCCCGGGGGCCTAGGACAATGGGGAAGAAGCACCTAGACATGGGAGGGCTGGCGGGATCCTGAGGACCCGGCCTCGGTTACACTACGGCCTCTGCAGGGGAGCAGCACCCGCCTGCACCTGTACCCACACTTGTGCCCACACCTGTTCACCCACCTGTCCTCACCTGCACCCACACCTGCAGTGCTGCCGGCTCACACCAATGCACATCTGCACCCATACCTCACTCCTTAATCACAACCCAAGCCCCCTGGCCAGTGGCAGGTGACCACAACCAGACCTCTCGCCACCCACCAGAAAAAGCTGCTGAGACATGGTGACCAAAGCGCCTGAACCTCCACTGCCTAGGTACCCCCCACACCCCCTCGGCCCTCCGCCCGGGCTGCAGGAGGGCTGCTGCCTACGCTCAGACTGCGCCCGGGATGGGGCGGGCTCGTTTCCAGCCCTCTCGGAGTCTTCCCGCCCCCGCGCGCCGGCTCCCGCACGCCTGTCCTCCCGGGCCTTCGCCCCGGGCGCGCGGTGTCTGTTCCCGCGTGGCACACGCGCCCGTCCGCCCCCACCCCACCCCACCCCGGGGCCAGTCTGGGTGGGCTCCACTGCGCAGGTGTCGCTCTCGCAGGCCCTTTCGGGGACGCAACCCTTGCCGGTGGCCTCGGTCGAGGCGAGTCCGCGGGGCAGGTCCCAGGACCCGCTTCGCGGTGGCCCAGATGGCCGGGCGTGGTATCCGCCGCTCTCTGTGGAGTGGCTGAGTCAACGGCTGGACACCCTCTCCCTCTGCTTATAGCAGTGAAGTTTCAGGAGGGTCTGTGATTCGCCCAGGGCCACGCACCCTTCTGCGGCCAGTCCGGCTGTCCCGCAGGCCACGTGCGCGTCCCTGGGGTGGACCCGCCCCCCTCCGCTGTGTGTTCTGGGCCCGATGGACCCCTGGGTGTCTCCCTTCTGTCGGGTGCAGAGACGCCTGGGGTGTCTAACGGGCAGCAGGGCCTGGCAGTAAAGGGGACTGGGACGGGCAGAGCACCTGCCGTCCAGATGGCCCTGGGGAGCATATGCGACAGCCTGGCGCCCCTCGGGACCCGGGAAGGAGGCTGGGCGCGAACGTGTGGCGAGGAGGCCCCGCTCCTCCCCTTTACACCCAAGGTCTCCGCCGGGTTTCCCCAGGAGAGACCCAGGGACAAGCGGAGGGCAGCAGCTCGGGTGGGCGGGGCTGGCGCTGCGTCCCCTCCCGCCCC